CTAGTTATAGTGGTGGTAGTGGGACGTGCTGACTGACTTGCCTGCGGTGTGTGACTTGTACTTGCTATAAAAGCAAGCAAAAATTACGGCTTTTCCTGTACGATAGTTTTAGCTATCCGGTACTCACTTCTAAGCTGTAGGCAATGGTCTTTAACTGGCAGTAAAAATGTATGAGCTGCAGTGCTGATATCCGGGCATGCTGACCCAGTAAAACTTTTTGCGCTATCACGCGTGACCATTGTGTCTTTATGGCTTACAACCAGGAGACAGCGGCTTGTACTTGTAAAAAAAACAGTGACAACCCGCTTCTCAGGTCTAATGTTTAAAGGAAACCAATGAAAACCAGGAACCAGGTTCGTGGTCTGCTAAGGAACCAGGGGGAACCAAGGGATCCAAGGTTTCATTTTATCGAATGTACCAGTCTGAATCAAGATCAAAAATTTGATTTTGTTTTGTCGAAGAAACAAGTGGCAACCAGGAAACCATACTGGGAACCATGCACACGTCCGGCTCAATTACTGTAGATTTTCGTTGTTGGCAGTCATTTCAACATAACAAAGCCCAGCTACCGACTGGAGTAATAGGTCAGGATGTGCATTTCGTACAGCTCAGCATATCTTCCACTGATGAGGTCTTCAACCTTTTCTGGGAGCATAGCTTAAGTCGAACTGGAGACAGCAAAACCTGGCTGAGGGCAAAAACGCTGGCTACGAAACACTGAACTTCATCAACACGATACGCGGAATGTGAGCTTTCAAATATTTATGGAGAACGTGCCCTGTCACCAGCTTCGCCTGTAGAACCTAGCTTCTGTTTTTATATCACCGACCAACTGATCGCTTAATAGCATATACGAGGCCTTTCATGCAGTTCGCAAACGCATACCATGAACACAGCTTATTTACGTCCTAAAACAGCGTTCGACAGAAGACGTTTTCACCACCACCTTGTAGAAGACAAGTGATAGCGTAACTAAAGGTAGCCAATGTTCGTGACGCATGCTCAACATCGCTGCCATTTACATCTTGCAAATGGGTTTGCACAAAGCTGCGCACGGCTATAAACAAGATCCTACTGCTGTCCAATGAGACATGACATGCCGTTCTGTTCAATGATGAACGCAATATGTCAGCCGCATGAGCCGCTGCGAGCTAAACACTCCTAACATGCAACCAGTGGAACGCCAAACTAATATCGAAACGTAAATAATTAACTATTACCAGCGCAACTGGATCATTTCTCGACGTCACCCAGACAAATAACATCCTCCTCGGAGAAGCAAAACCTATGACAATGTAGCGAGCCTTTTGATGAACAGCCCTTCGCCGTTTCATCGCCGCAGAGAAAGCCACACGGTAACAAATCACTAAGATTAGTCCAACGCGAGCAGCAATAAATCGGAGCTCGCGCCCAGACGACTTCTTGACGTGGACCTCCCGCTGAAAATCGCAGTCACGTGCGCTAATGACGTCAGTGCAGGCAGCTCAACTGCCAGCTGGCTACCATCAGCTGACAGCCAAATGGATTGACTGTTTTGCGGCTAGATGCACGCAGCAAAAATCGCCATTCAGGCAACATCGCCCAACAGCTTGCATAAAACGTGTCAAAGTTCAGTCATTTTCAGCCCAGATTATGCACAGAATACTGATTAAAGCACTGCATGCCGACGTGAGTAGTCTGAAATGATGATGGTGAAGGATTATGAGTTTTAATAAAGTTTATATGGAATGGCAGCAATTAGGCCAGACCAAACGAGACGCCTTGACATTGCGGTCGTGAACAAAGACAGATTGCAGCGACTGGTGAAAGATGGAGCTATTACGCACACGTGCCCCGAAAGCTCCGATCTAGATAATTGAAAGTGATCCATCTCGAAAGTGGATTCTTTCGGACTGCCAACTAGGCGCCATCCACGACTCAGTAACGTCGACATAACTTTATGCTGGAAGCCGTGGTCACAAACCTACCGCCGTCAGTGCTGTGAGCGGGCCCCAAGGGAAGATTCTTTAACTGAAAGCACCCTCAAAGCCCTATCACAACAGTTGCCGTTTCCACGAAACTTCACATATTGGCTAGGATCCAGCGGCCGCCCTGGCAGACGTCAGGCTATGCGAGCAATCGGACAAACACACCGAGATTAAGAACATAAGCATAGCACGGACCAACACCTTAAAAAAGTCGTTTTTTCGGGACGAGAGACAGCAAGACATCACGCCCGGACAATCGCCGGGTCAGCTGGTGATCTTCATCGTGCTTGGACATGGCTGGCTTGTCGGTGTCGGCCGTCAAAAACGGGTCGATTGATCGCAGACACTTCTCCGTCACTGATAATCACGCACTGCGCGCATGAACGCAGGCAGCCCACGGTCCTGGTAGCACGCGCGGCGCGCACCAAATTCATGCACTCGCGCTACGCTATGTCCAGCTTGCATTTGCAAGGCCAGCTTATTTTGCCGTGCCGCGTAGCTTCTCAGCGCTTGCTGAAGCTCATTGGGCACAAATGCACAAATTAAAACAGTAGAAGAAGCCTACTAAGCAATGACGCCAGCGCTGGCATTAATATCTATGTTAACGTTTTACCATTGGCCATGGCTAATGGCCACACCAAGCCTCATACATTTACGTCACTTGCCACAGGCAGCTTGTGGTAGAAAAGATGTGAGCTCTTCGTTTTTAGTCTGTGTTTTTTTTTTAATGACATCCCGACCTTAACCTCCATGTCTGCCTTCCCTGCTCTTAAAGCTCATCACACAGCGCCCACTCCTAACCTCACCTCCACCTCAAGCTTCTCGCAGCCCAGGAAAGCTGGGTCGAAGGCTATAGAAGCAAAAGCTGGGCCTGCGTTGCCCATATCAACCTATCAACGCTATCGATACAAAAATAATGCCGATAGGACAGCAGTAATAGCCTTATTCCTAGAGGAAAACCAGGAGAATGGAAATATAGACGGGCTGATATTTCGACAACATGCCTTTATCGAAGCAATAGCAGAAGTGGATTAAACAAAACAAAAATCCTTCTGTTTCAGTTTTCGTCCCGCGCCCACTTCCACACCAGCATACCCGCATTTAAACACCGATCAGTCTGACGCAAGTTAAAACACGGCGCGACGCTCAGAGGACTGCATGGTCGCGCCGCCGTCGTGTCGTGAGACACAACGACGCCATGGCGACGAGTTGGGGTCGTGTCATGCCATTCGTGTGGCCCGGTACGGTACGTGACCCCGCAAACCGCCCCACTATCGGCCCACCCGGCCGCTGGGAGACACGGGGTCGGCACGTGGGCACGCCGCGGTGCCGTCGTTTCGGGAAATCGTGCTGCAAGACGGCGCGGCCGCGTTTCCATCAAGCGCGAGACCGGCAGCCGAGGCGGAAGGCTGTGGCGGGACGAAATAAAAACATGAAAGTACCGGGCAGGAATATTGCGCGTCCAATTACTAAGCGATACTGAACCCGCGTAAACAAACGGCGATAGTTATGCGCCGTGGATTTTTCGACTCAACTTACATGCTATGCATTTTTTACCACACTTCACAGCAAGGGTGGTGTTTTGTGATTTAGATCAAACTACCTCGTTTGAATGAAGTGCGTGAGCCTTCAGGCTCATGTTCATCAGCCATCCCTTATCTCGTAAGTCATACAGTCACTCAGCTGCTTAGCTAAAATCTAATCAACGCATAAATGATGGCATCTTGCATATGAGCCTGGCAGAATTACATCCAGTCAATTAAACGGAATGTTTCACATTTGAAGATATTAAAGCAAGCATGACATATGACAGAACAAGCTCACTTATAACTTTTAGTACACTTTTTGAGTGGGAAAGACTGCTCTAGACAGCCCAATTTTACGTTTAGTAAACATGCTCCTCGATGCCTTGTGGTTTGATTACGTTATGGTACTGTGCACAGCATTGACTGGAAGCCAACTGACAGTCATTATATCTGGAGATCACGCTCACGAGCGCGAGATATGAACGCCTCGAAAGTTATATTCCCATTGACCTTGATCGCCGCATGGCTTATGGAATGGCAGAATTGAAATGACGTTATTATGACGTCATGAATGCCAAGGCGACTTTCAAATACTCCCGCCGATATGCCTCTCCCCAATTTTCGCGGGCGCGTAGCTCGGAAACTATAGGGGCTTAGGCCTTAAGAATTGCACGATTGTGTACCGAAACAGCACCGAAAGGTCTTCAAGCTGGCTATTTCAGTTCAAACCCCCATAGAAATATGGAACGCTCTCTTTTAATAAGTACCACTGCCTTCACCTTGAACGCGATTCTGTTAAAGCTAATGACACAGAAGATAAGATTTTCTGTTCCTGTTTTTATTCAGTGACGTAATGCCGACAACTGGTATAAAAGCTGAGCATTGTAACCAGATGTACCAGTAAGTGACGCGCATATTTACCATGACTTGTTTCGATGCTATGCTTTCTTACCACTCCGCTGTTGAAAAGACAGAGCCAGTAATAGATAACGACAAAATCGTTCAGACAAATTGTTAAAAATGTTTGTCGGCTCCAGCCCTTTGCTGCAAAGTGGGTGAAATACGCTCTTGATCCAGATCTTGGGGTGATACGTCGGCGCATGATAAAACCTACCTTGGTCATTAGACTCAGGGTTCGGTGCGTTACTTAACCACCGAGCTCAAGCATAGGTCTCCAGGCACAGTGCTCCCGCCTATTGTATTGCCACCGTGGTAACAGTAGCCCCAAATACAGCAGAGGCTTGAATTGCATTGCTAGCCTGGCGCATATGGCTCTCGTCACGGAGTCTGACTCTGCGATCGACCCATGCCAAGCCACCCTAAGGTCAGCGCGAGATCAAACTAGTGACCTACGCCGACATGTGTCAGGCACAGAGACCGACTCTGTTGCTGAAGGACGCCTGACAAAGAACGCCACGCCAGCGTCTGACCCTTCGCTGAACTCGTAGACCTCCACCTCCACCCTCCTCCCCCCCCCCCCCGCCCCTCCGCTGCCGCCGTCTCTGACCTTGGACAGTCGGAGAGCGACTCCAGGTGGGTAGACATGTTGAACGAGTCGGGCAGGCGCACCAGCACGGTGCCGCCGTAGCCGTACAGCTCGCGCAGAAACAGCTTGAACAGCCAGGCGACCAGGTGGGAACCGGACCGGTCGGAGACCTGGAGTCTGAGATCGACCGTCTCGCCACGCCAGTACATTCGGCGCGCCAGCGTCGCTGCGGCAACGAGGGTCAGGTCAAGGTCATCAGGCAGTGGGCTCGTTGTGGACGTTGAGTTACTCCATGGATCGCACGAGTGCCCATGGCGGCAGGTTGACGGGTCAGGGTTAAGGAGGTTGTGGCCAACGGGGTCACGGCGCCCGAGTCAACGAGTTTATGGGTGACGGAATCACGGCGCGAGGGTCATCTCAGCGAGGTCATATCAGTGAGTGGACTGACCTTTGATCTTGCGTCATGTGTAAACGGGTCAAAGAAGTGCAGGTCGATGGGAGGTCGATAGGGTCCAAATCAACGGGACGCGAGTCATGGGTAGCGAGTCCTTGGCGCCATGTGTGAACAAGGTCATGGTTTAACTTTAAGTGAGTCAACGGAGTCACGGATGACGGGTCCAGCAAGTCAGTGGGCTTGTCAGTGAAGTCATGGATGAATAAAATGATGAGATGACGGGCGGCAGGTCGGCGGACAAAGGCCAGCAGAAGAACGCATCGATGGGTCACAGGTGAACGGGCTCTCAGTTTGACAGGCGCAGGCAGGCATGCGATGAACAAACTGCGCCTGAACACAGCACACAGGAATAATTGTGCAATGCGTAGCATGGCACAAGGCTACAGATCAACAGAATGACAGGTTAACAATGATGACATAAAATGGTGTCGGGCACATGTAAGCACGGTCACAAACGAACAGTGCGAATTGTGCGTTGGTCACCAGACAGACCAAGTATAGGGAGGGGGAGGCAGACAGACATACTTCCACGGGATGTGCTCACCAGAGGAACGCAACATCGATAGCCTTCACTTCCAGATGTAATAGACTTAACCTAAGCGTTACCGCCTTGAAAGGACAACGGCAGCTAATCTGGACTTGTCATGGAAACCCTCAACCTTTGACCACACAGAACACCAACGAAAATTGGCGGCTTTTAATAGCTGTCAGGCCGGGAATAGTTGTTCTATTACTTCAGCAAAGCCTCCAATGTATATTCAACATAAACTTTTATGTGAAAACCAGAGATGTGTGAAATTTTGGAAAGTCTTCCTCAGTATTTTAGACTTTGCAGACCTAGACCAACTGCATCAAAATGAGGATAGTTAGATGCTTGTCAAGAACAGATGTTTGAAGGCGGCAGCGGAGCAAATATTCTCCGTTACACTTGACTGCATTTTAACTTAACCCCCGTCACTTGCATAAATACGTCAAGGTGCCCATTAAACATGTTCATAACCGATTGCAAAAATGGATAGGTCATTACTTGAACACAATGCAAGTATCGTCATTTAGCCACCTCTACATTCTAAGCGAAAAGTGGCGGTTAGTGCTGTGTCCATAATCCGCCGCCAGGTGTCAGCCCGACACAGAAGGGTCGTGTTACACCTGGGTGCAGAACAGCCGTCACAAAAACTCTCCTCACTCCTATTTGGTAATAGGACCTAAGGCAATGTTCACTGACAAAACGCGACGGCAGGAATTGGGTGATAGATCTAAGGCGCATGCAACAGGCTCTACTTAGCAAGAACTCTGGATCAAAAACCATCCGTGCAGATCATTGGAAATAAACTTCTAACAAACCGCGAGCGCATCGTACCTGTCTGCTGTGTCAAAGAATGTGAGTGCAGTTCTGTAAGACAGACAGACGGAGACAGTAGTAGCTTCAGAACATGACAGCTATAGACAGAGACGTCGATTTCTGAATTTGATTGATGGAGCCAAGCTGGGAGCTCGATAATCTAACCTCACCAAAAGCCAACTTTTTGTCCGCCCACTTCACCTGAACAGATTCGTGCCACTCTTACATCCACTATTCATATAATTCATCAAATGGCCAAACAGGTCTCAAGACAACACCAGGCCAGCGTTCGAGCCGGGTCCTTACAACAAAGCGCAAATAGATACCCTTGATTGTGGGCGCTGATTTTCTCATAAAAGTTGAACTAGAATGATCGATGTAGTATTGTGTAACTGCATATTCCAGCGGCAAATTGCCGACGACGGCACGGCGTCGACAGCGTATTTTATTCTGCTGCCAAGGAAGACTTGGTCATAGGTAAGCTGATTATCGGTGCAACGAGCGAGATGATAGCAGAATTCAATATCGTCACAACAGAAATGACTGTTATCGCCATGTACATGGTACCAGAACAGAAGCAAATGGAGCCCATCGCTATGAGGAACCCATACAAATATGACTTAAAATGCCTTGGAATATCCTCTTTCCATGAGGTTAGAAGGCAGAGGTGCGCTGAGGTTGAGCGTCCGAATATAAATTTACAAACAATGTCGGCAGAAAACGTAGAAAACATCGTCTGGAAAGGGCTGGCTACAAGCCTACTTCCCCCCCCCCCCCTAACTTCACCCTTGCCAAAAAACTTATGATGATAGGTCGCACGCTGAACAAAAACAGTCGGAAAGTGCAATTTTGTCAACAGCCAGGAAAATGACGACGGAGAACGTTCCAAATCTGTAAAGACACCGGCACATTCCGACATCAGCCAAACTTCACGTCCCCTTACCGCATATTTAGCATTCCCTATCGCCGTGCTCGACCCGATAGTGGAAGCCGTTCTCAAGCAGCTAACCAGCCTCCGGGAAGGGCGCGGTGTCGGCCAGCGAGGAATCCCAACCCCATACCAGCCCCCCCCCCCCCCCCCCGATCCACCGTGTTTTGCAGGCTTGGCCGACCTGCTTGCCGGAATGTGTGTACTCTCGCAGGGAGCGCTGGCCCTTACGTAAACACTGCGCCGGCCTGACAAACAGCCGGCCGTCACTGGTGTTCGCCAGCGCTGAGCGGAGCGCTGCCGGGGATGCCAGAAACGGCCAGACTGATTAATGGCGTCGAGCAGGCGTATGCCTCAAGGTCTGTCCGGGTTTTTGTTCGGCTTCGATGCGGGGCGCCGAGGTGCGAAGAACAGAAGCACGCGCCATGGGGCATCAGCAGGTGTTGCGCCAGGCCGCTTCACTCGCCATTAATCTCTATCAAAAAGCGATTTGCAATCGTCACATGTGTTATGTGCCAAGCCCATCACCACGTGACGCAGGTGGTGTGCCTTAACTGACGTCTTGGTGGGTTTCACTTGGTCCCAGAGCGCCCCAGGGGTCACAGGCATTGCATCTGCGCCGAACACCACCGAAATCCCGCCATGATCCAAGATTTGCTGGCATGGCTTCCGGGTTCGGTCTCGTCCAGCGACCCGACCGTCCAAAGGTCACAAATCTTGCACCCGACCCACAAATTTACAAGCTGAAACAATGATTCAGAATCCGACGTGACCTACACACGCACCGCTGCTCACGATATTGAAAACACCGCTCGCTCTCCAAAACGACCCGCACACCGTCCGCCCCACCGTACCCCCTCCCCTTCGCCCCTGCCTCAGCACCTCCGCGAGATCACTGACCTGGCTCCCGGGTCATGCACCCGAGCGGCTCAGCCGCGGCGGCCGCCAGCACCAGCGCCAGCGCCAGCGTCAGCACCAGCGCCGGCCGACAGCCCATGACGCCACTCATCAGCCGGCCATCACTCCCACGTCCGGTTCCGACGCCGCCGCGGCATCTGCCGAAGGTAAACACGTCAGGCGGCGATCGCGCACGGCGAGGAACCCACGGCCTCCGCGGCGTACGGCGCGCACTTGGCGGCGCGGGCGCCGGGTCACTCGGACCACCGCTGCTTCTGGCCCAGCGCCCGCCGAGGTGGACAGCGGCACCGCAGCGGACTGGTTTTTGTGTTTGGCGAGGGCGTCAGTCGGGCAGAACGGTCGGGGTGGACTGCAGTGGTATGCACAGAAGCGGTGGGGGGGGGGGACACAGCTTACGTTATCGGCGTGAGACGCTAAGTCATGGCGGCAGGATCGATGCAAGTTTATGCGTAAACGCGCGTGGAAAACAACGGAAGACTGGTAAGGCAGTTCTCCTCATTTGTCAGGTCTCCTCCCACTTAAGGGCTAATTTATTGACAGTCATCTCAGTTCATCAGATACAGGCAGTCCAAATGGAACACTAGTAAACACAAAGTCTTCGAGCACTCAAGCAGGTTTCTCAGCATATTTCGTCATGCTGTTTCAAACGCGTTCAGTTCATTCTCGAGCTTAAACGACACTCTTTCTGTGCCGCCTCGTTACTCGTTAAGTTTCATAAGGGGTCAACTGTCCCTAGCAGTCTTACTGTGTTGAACCGCGTTCATGCCAACAGCCTATTCGTTAAGCAGCTTAAACCGTTCAGACGTCACCGACAAATCAGCTCATGCCGCTCAGCGGTCACCGACAAGCAGTTCACGCCGCTCAGAGGTCACCGACAAGCAGTTCACGCCGCTCAGAGGTCACCGATAAAGCAGCTCATGCCGCTCAGAGTCACTGACAAAGCAGCCTATGTTGCTCAGAGGCCACCGACAAAGCAGCTCACATCGTTCAGAGGTCACTAACAAAGCAGAAGAGGTCACTGAGAGGTCACTGAGGATGCAGACTGATCTTCTGGGGTGTTTGGTGGCCCCCGCCTAAAACGTCACACTGGCGCCAACGTGTTTGTTTTGAGGACGTGACGGGGAATGATCCGGGTCATGAGTACGCAAGTGCACGGCATCCAAACGGTGGCATGCATGTCGAAGCTCACAGGCGAGTGGCTCGTCTGGCAGCCATGATAAGGAATAATCTGCAGAGAATTCACGGGGCTGTTTACCATTGAGCATAATGCCAGGAAGATCTCGAGGGTCGCCTCAAGCATACCAAACCCAGGCCGTTGTGTTACAACATCGAACGCATAAAACAGACCATGCTTGGAACTTTACGTGAGACGATGATATCCTGACAGGTCATTTGTTTAGAGCGTTTGCCTTCCAATTCACTTACCCGAGGCAGCGCGGATTTGAGTCAGTCTACGCGCTGGCTACTTGCCTCTGGCCAGGAAGACCCGCGGCCAGTGGCTGCAGCCGCGCTAAGGGGCAGGTGACGTCAGAGGGCGGGGCGGACCGCGTCAGGCATTGTGGTACGTCCAGCTTTCTTATACGACTCTGTCGTCGAGCAGGATGTTTACGATAATATACCGCGGTGAGGGCTCATGCAGGGTGATCATCTTTCATCCATCCTATCCATCATTTTAAAAACGTTCTCATTAAATATTTCAGAAAAAAGATGATCAGCCTGTATCCACCCTGTATCCGCATTTTTCAAGGCAGGGAGCGACAGCTAAGGCCGCATTCCGTTTTCGAAGAACACGAGGTGGGGGGGGGGGAGGGAGGAAGCTCATCCTACCTTCCCCAACCGATCTCATTTCTCACTTCACCCCAACCACCCGCACATTTGCCGCTGGAAAACGTTTGCCCTCACGTACTTTCGGATGAAGAACTGTCGCTCTCGGCGGACTTCGTTCTATACGAATTATTCTGCGAACTTCTAAGCGACGAACTTTTTCAAAAAAGTTCCTTACGGCTAGCTTTTCTTCCACGAACCTCTGCTGTAAAATCTGCAGAGACCATCATTCGCCCTTACAGTCGCTCTTGTGAAGGGCCCCGCCTCAGCACCAGCAAAAACCTGGTTTTGGTTCCCTGCGCGGGTAAGCCACGGCTCTGCCGCCTGAGGTTTCCCAAGATGACCGCAGGCAGCCCGCGGCTGAAGATGGCTCCATTTTCACCCATCTCCTCAGTCATATGCTCTGAAATGGTACTCGGCAACCGAAACAGTCTTTCCGTAACCCAGCAAAAACAATGACATAGCGGTGATTAGCATGCTGTATAAACGCTGGGAACGCTGGCCGAGCCTCCGTCCAGCGGACGGAACGGTGGGTCTCTCACCGAGCTACCGTCGAGCAGCATGCTGGTATTTCTCGTATCCAAAACCTCCTGCTGAGTCAGTCCGGGATGAGATACGGGTGCATGACGACCGTCCACAACCAGTCGATCATTTCTGAACGCTCGTGGGTCAGGAGGCTGATTATCGTTTGCTGACGTCGCCGATTCTCGCCGGCCGAGTTTTTTGACGCTCTCCGACTTGCCCTTCATCTGACCTTGCCGGAAATGAGCGGTGGCACGTCGCCGCGGTCAGCGCATCCGAACGAACATATTCATCTCAGGGCCAACCCAAATGCGGCTATTACGGGTCAATGGCGGCCGATACTGTCACACGCTGCTGAGAGCTGTTTTGTAAGCTCCAAGCAGCGGTGGTATTTCCATGCGCCGCTTTCACGGAATGCGCTGCGTTTCAACTAAACCCAGCAAGTTTGGCATGATCGATTTTCATAAACATTGCGGAAGCACGTACCGATGACCACGTCAAGCTTCGTTTCCTGCGAAATGCATGCCTGACCAGCAATGCATATTTGCAGTGGGCATACGACATCACATCCTGTCGGGCCGCCCAAAAAAACTCTGGGCAACTACCAGCTTTGCATACTACCAGCTAAGCCCCCTTCGTGCGCTTTGATTAATTTTTACCTGTCACTGGCAGGAGCTGAACAAGGCCATTGTTTGACTACCACAGTTGCAAATGTTGCTATGATGTTGCACCAACTGCTCCAACATCTTACGCCTTCCGTCCAGCAGGTCACACGGATATGCAAAATATCTCCATCGACATCAAAATATCTCCAAATATCTCCAACGGTATTAACAATAGCACAATAAAATATATCCAACGACAAACGCCTTCCGTGCGGCAGGTCACACCGATATGCAAAACATTTCCATTTTATGTCATCTAAAACTTTAGTGTCAGGACGGCACCAAACCAGCTTAAATATTACATGTATGGCGTACCTCCTGGTACACTGTGGGGGGAATAAGGAGGCGCCGAGAAGGAGGTGTATGATGCGACAGTAGGTACCGACCTTGAGTACACCCCAGAGAGGTCAAACTTCCCGGGTCTGCAAAGTCACCACATTACTATCCTGCGGGGACAGCACATCTTTTCAGTACCACCAGTACTGACCGAGTACCAGCCGCCGGTACTACTGCACCCGACCCGCCTGTTTACCTCTAAAACAAACCCTACAGGCTGCTACGTGCCCCGTTGGGGCATCACGTGTCGACCCATCTGGCACCGCGCCACGCGACTCTCTGGAGTGACTCACGACCCGCTCAAAACTATTTATGTTACTCTCGACCTCAAGACGTCTAGAATTGTGGGAAAACCGGAGCTGGGCGATGTCAGAAGCTGGGAAGTGTTCGCATTCTGTGCCATTTTCCTCAGCGTTCGACAACAATAGTGAACGCAGCATTTAGTAGAGAATTTAAAACAAACCGGTCGAACAATAGCACCCAAAAACGTGCCCAATTCGTTACCCGCTACGTTCGGAGGAACGCTGGAAATGTGCTGGCATCCACTTCGACGTGAATATTCAATGAAGCAGCTGCAAAAACCGGATGATCGACACCACTCGACTAAACCAATAGCGGTAGTCATCCGATAATGATTAACAAAACAACCCTATTCGTGTCGAACATGCGTAACACGAGTGCTGCGTTGTAGCCGGAAGCCCACCGCCCGCTACCTGCCGAGGTTCCCGTGGCAGCATTTAAAAGCCCGTACATCAACATGCACGCTTTATTCCCGAAGCCACACACGTTCAACAACATCTAAAGCCACACATCATGAACTCTACGATGACTACCGAAACCTAGTTTCGACCAAGCATCGGGGTGCAGCAAACTGATCATGATGTCCAACGTCATCTCCCACCGAGGCAGAGAAAAAAAACGTATTGGAGCAGGCGTGTAGTTTCCTATTCAGCTGAGGGGAGAATCCAGCTCCTAACTTCGTTTTGCGAGGCTACATCGCTGTGGGCGAGACCTAATGCGCGTGACACGCGGCAGATTCGCCACCATATCACTTCACCGCCCAGCCAAGGCACCGCTCCAAAGCTCAAGCGTCTGGGGTAAGAGGTAGGACGATCAAAATCGCTGGAAGGTGATCGGTAGCTTACACTACTCAATTGACGGCGCAATGAGTAGCAATACTCTAGTAGAGTAGCAATCTTCAACGTAGTGAAGGCAAACGAACAACTGAATCGAGTTCTCGCACTGCGCATAGCACAAAAATAAGATGCCGAATAAAAGAAATTGACATCTTTAGAGCTGTAACTTTGGGTTTAAGAACTGTGTCTCTAGAGCATTGCTCTGAAAACTGCATTTCTGTGGAAAAAAAAGCATCAGAACGTCTACCACCGAGACAATAGAGGCAGCAGAGCACCGAGCACACTAATCGAGTAGTGCTGGCCGCTGCCATAAGCGCCAAGCGACGGGCGCCGGGCGCGAAAGAACGACCTTCGTTGACTAATGCTCCCGAGAATAGCACAATACTGATGGCCATATTTACCGTAGAATCATCAGGGAAATGGGGAGGTGGGTGAATGATTGGTATTTGCTTGATATTTCTTACCAAAATCACTATCGATATTCGTTTCGATAAGGGCATGTAGTCGAAATATATGTCAATCAACCAGGCGGCAATTTTTGTGAAATCCTGTGTCGGACATCACAAACTCGTGAGCCTGTGCAGAAGTGCGCAGGGATGCTAGGTGTGCTATAACATTATCGTCATCGGATGCCGAAGAACCTCATGTGTTAAA